GCCGCTGCTGCTGCTGCTGCTGCTATATACCAATATTTGATACTGCTATTTAAATGTCCTTTTGGCATACTATATTTAATATATATCCAGGTATGAACTTTGTTTTGTAGCAAAACAAAGTATGGACCCTACTTTTACTGCATTCCTAGTTATTTTGTTTTCTTGGAATATTTTACAGTTACAACTTTTGACTCTCACTGCTCACCGGAGTCGTTTGACCATTTCTCTACACATTTCAATCACTTTCTTCAAGTCTCATCTAGTTTACATATTTTACCTTTATCTGCCAGTACATATAGTAGGCATGCAACTATGCATTGATTAAAATGTATTCTTATGCTCACGATTCGTGCATCACATTGCATGTTTAACAATAATTTCACGTGGCCCTTAGTGCCCTTAAGAGGTTTCACATTCACCACAATATTAAAACAAACATTATATTCGTGAGATGTGGGTGTGTGCAGGGTTATTTGGTCACAGGTATATGAACTATAGCTTTGTGTTTTGAATGTGAATTATGTATGTCACATTCGTGTTACTGTGTTTTGTATTATGTATTTGTTTGTATTAAGTATGCATTTATAGATACATATATTCTTTATGGTTGGAGAAATGGCCCATTGGTTAGTGCATTGGACTACAAACCTGTCGATCTGAGTTCGAAGCCCAAGATCAGTAGAGTGCTGGGGGTGGGGGGATGGAAGGGGGATGGGGAATGCAGCCCATATTGTTTATATTTACAAAATAACCTTTGATTTCTAACTTCCCTGCAATGTTTTAACAGGTTCATGTTGACCTGCCTGGGTTTTCCAAACTGTAGAGCAGCAGTCTTTTTTCCTGATTTTGTTTTAGAAGCAACCAGAGATGAGAGCATCTGTCAGTTTTGCCAGCCAAATGCAATACACAGGTAAGTGGGTTACATATCGATCTTAATTTAATTTGTCCACCGTTGGTTCAGCAGGTACTGTATTCTTTGCGCTGTGCCTTTTATGGTTGAACTATATACTTAACTTTTTTATTATGCTCAGAGGTGACCACGTGGCTTGGGGGATAGTGCGTTGAGCAAGGACCACTGGAATTCTGGGTTCAAATCCAGGCAGAAATCCCATGATTAAATCAAGTTCAATGAGTTGATGGTATCATCCTGGTCACCACTGACTTTCAGAAAAGCTTCACGTTAAATACTTTTTTGCATGATAATTCCGCAAGCACACTCTCCTCCGGCCAAAACCTGGCACGCGCAAAGTTATTGTTTATAAGAAAAAAGCTGCGTTCTTGGAGCAAAATGTCTTACCTTTCAATCAATAATATAATTGTGTAATTAATCATTTATGTATGGATCATTGATTGCCATAGTTACACATGAAAATTATTACGTGATGTTAAGGTTTTAAATATGTAAATGGTATGATTTAATTAAAGTTAACATTTGAACAATGCATATAGTTTATTTACGTGAATAATATGTAAAAAACATTTTTAGCACCTTCTGTTGAATGTCATGGACTAAGCAGAATTGAGGACTTGATCTTGCGTTGTCGCATTAGTATTACAATGTCTAATATTCAGGGATCAGTTGCTTAACTTGTGTGGTCGTCTAGTGCAATGTCAAGGATATTGAAGCGTTAAATGAAATTATAAAAATTGTGTATTCATTCATGAAATGTGTGTTTTCATTTTAGGTTAAAATTTAAGTTCAAGAAAAACTCTGTCATTCCTTGCACACCTTTGGATTATGTTGGATGCGTTGGTGGCTGTGATGATGTCATAAACGACATAGCGGATTTAAAATACCTGCGGCCTGTTACAACTCCCAACCAGTCCCGTCAAAGTCAACCCTCCGCTTCAGTTGCGCGGCAAAGGGGAACATGCCAGCCGTCAAACGCATACGTACAACGGCCACCACAGCAGGCACCTCCTCCACCTATGGCCATGTTACAAATACCTCCTGGAAGAAACGAAGAAAATGCTGTCGTCTGCAACTGTGGAATTGAGGCTACCCTCCTTACCGTCAAAAAGGAAGGCATCAACAAGGGGCGAATGTTCTACAAGTGTCCGTCAGGTGTATGCAACTTTTTCCTTTGGGCAGATCAACAAGACAGTGGATACAGATCTGCACAGAGCAACCAAGGTTCTTTTCATTCAAGCACAGTATCTCGCGGAGGCCACGATGAAGTGATGTGCTCTTGTAACAATCCAGCCGTAATGCGCACTATCGTAAAAGACGGACCGAACAAGGGTCGCCAGTTTTACACTTGCTCCAAACCTAGAGATGAGCAATGTGGATTTTTCCTGTGGATGGCTGATGAACCCTCAAATTCAGGTATGTATATTCACGTGTCTTTTTTCCCAAATGAAAGCTAGTAATAGAGTAATAGCCATGCTATACTATTCGCATGGATAATGAGGATCTTGTGTTTATATTGTATGCTTGATTATTAAAACGGATCTTAATTTTGTTCTATTTACCATTTGAAATGAACTAAAGTTGAAATATATTGGATAAATTAGTTAATACTTTGGTGGCATATAGTATTAACACAATTTTTTTTACATCACAATGAATTACACAATACCACCATAGAAATTTTGTATCTTTTTAATCTTTACACTTACTGATATGTAATTATTAGGGTTCCGGTGGTGAGCACACTGCTATATGAACCCAGTAATCTTGAGTTCGATATTTGGCCATGGTTGATGTCCATGGTGAGGGATATCTGAACCGGCGCTGTGCTCCTCCATTCACCACCCCGCACTGACCAATGTGGCAAAGCATGGTCAACTGGATTGGCACAGGGATGTAATTTATTCTATTTATATTTAGTTTTCTAATGAAGATAATGCATTCGTTTTATTTTTTAATTTTTTAAAGCATTTGGTGTTGATGAAATGTGTGAAATTGATAGTTATTGTGCAATAACTATCAATGTTTTATTGTACAGTAATGTAAATAATTAATATATTAAGGTTTCATATTTTGACGCATAACCTATGACAATACCATGTTTGCATATAAGCAAATAGTTTTATTCATCCTTTGTTGCTTTTTACTGACAGACTAAGCAGTAATAATTGTGACTTTGCTTTCGCAGCTCATTCCGTTGCAAGACCTCCACTGCGGCCTGACAATGCAAGACCCACGTCAAACAATAGAACAGCTGGCGAGGATACCACAGTGAGAGCCAAGAGAACTTGTGGAATCTGCCATCAACCTGGACACAGAAGGACAACTTGTCCTATGAACAAATGATTGTTTCAGGAGAGTAAAATTACGAATCCAGTACATCCCTTTTGTCAGTCCATTGCTGGATGAGGGCCTCCCAACATTGTGTGGGCCTTGGGGGTTAATTGACCACACTGGTCAATGCCGGTTGCTGAAGACGGAAGTAAAATGACCGCTGCTTAGAAGTACAGTACAGCAATGGGCTTTGCTCCGCATCTGCCTACAAACTACGTTTTGGTTGTCCATGCTCTATCCAGTTTCACCCCTTCTTTTGAGATCTGGCAAGATCAGGCTCAAGTCGGCTGATTTGGTCAGACAATAAATAACGAAAGTGTTTGTTATATTTACGTGTTAAATACTGCCAGTTAATCTGATTTATGCATAATTTCAGGTATTCTTGAAAATGTTTTATAGAGCTTTACTGTATATTCCAATTTAACAAGAACTTTAAAAAAACCTGAAAAAGGGAAAGCATGACACTTGTACAATTTACATTTTTGTATATTATATATTCCGAGATAAATTTAACCAAAAAGTACATGATGTAATATACGGTGTGTTTTGCAATTGTTTTACACCATGAGTGTTTGTTGTATTAAAAATGGTAATATGAACCAAATGTCGTATGTTGTGAGTAAATGTTAAATATGAATGCAGTATCAGATCATGAGGCAGTGTTTTAAAATATAGTGGGATACGATATCCACTCGCGTAATTTAGAGAACACAATGTAATTCAAATAATATTTTGTTTGCGTTCTTCTTTATCTTTTGTGTAACGTTTTTTTCCCTGATTTATATCTGCTTCGTGCAGTAGTTTGATCTTTGCTATTATCATGGATGATGATTCCAGTTCACTTGCAAATGACCCACGATCCTGGTCGCTTCGAGTTCACACCCGGTGTTCCTTCCACATTTATAAACGCGCATTACATTATTTTCTGCTTTAAATTTCCACGTGATAAACCACTTTTCGATTTAAAGCTTTCGTGACTGCAGGGATTCATCTTCTTGGTTCTTTCGGTAAAGTCACGTAGAAGGGAAATAATAAAATTAAACATAAAATAAACACGACGTTTCGGCCACAACACAAGCAGCCGTCCTCAGGTGAAGAAACAAGAGCTGTCGAAAAGACAACGCTGTCCAAGAACGCTCTTTCCGACGGCTGTTTCTTCACCTGAGGACGGCTGCTTGTGTTGTGGCCGAAACGTCGTGATCATTTTATTATATTTTTATTTTATTTCCCTTCTACGTGACTTTATCGAAAAAACCAAGAAGACAAATCACTTTGTTGAGCTATCATTTGTGGTGAGGTCGCTTCTGAAAAATAAGCGAATAGCTCAATGGGCTTTACCTGGTGAGATTAAGCAAAGTTTCGTTTTATTTGTATTGTATTTTAAGTGATTTTATTTACCTATACTTTGCACTCCTATCGTATTTTGTATTGTAACGGTTCTGACCCCGTCCCCCTTCTGAACATCTGTGAAAAAGAGTTTAATAGCTCATCGGATTCCTCCAGTATAAGTACATATTCTGATTCTCACCTGGTATGAAAAAAATATATACTTGAATTAAAAAAAAAAAATTGTTTACCTTTCCTATACTTTTCACATCTGTTGGGGTTTTTTTTTATTTATTCTTGTAACTTTCTGACCTCGTGCCCCTTCTGAACATCTGTGAAAAAGCTTGGGAGCTCATCGGATTCCTCCTATACAAATGTAAATATTCAGATCGCCCCCTTGAAAGTGGACCACGTGGTTCGCCGCGGACCCTTACGGTGGTCAAAATTACCGCGGTACCTGCGGCCTCCCACAATCCCCCGCACCCGCTCAGCCGCTGTAGAGAAGCCGCAATGTCGGCCGCGCTGGTGCGTCGCGGCCTGGAGCTGCTGCAGGCTGAGGACGACGCGGCCCCGCGGGCCTCCACGGCGTCGCGCAAGGGTGAGGAAGGGAGCCCTTCTCCTCCCCCCCCCCCCCCGCGTGGCCTTCTCACTCTCGGACGAGAAGGCCACGGGGCCTACGCTGCGCCTGAGCAGTGCCGCCCACGTGGCCTGTTACAGGGTGGTCGGGATGTCTTGTGACCCACATTTAATTCTCTCGACTAAATTTTTGTTAAAAATCTAAGTGAGGGTTATCTAAAACATAAATGAATATTCAAAGGAAAAACATGTTAGCGGTCACATTTTTTTTGGGGGGTGGATTAAAGATTTGGACCATCCTGTACATGTGGGGCCATGCTGTGTTGGTACTGGATTCGGCATCGTGTTGTGTGCGGCTGTGGGTACCGCTCCAATCGTTTGCTACAATGTAACCATATGGGGACGGCTTTGGTTGGCAGGGCTTAAATAATGGGGTCTATTTTTGTAACCGCTTCGACTCCATGATGAACAAGCATTGTCCGTTATGAAGCATCTCCGATTAACAGGGTTGGGATGGTGATCATTTCTTCTGCCACCAGGTATAGAATGGGGCAAGTTTAAGGACGGCTACTGTTGGCTAAAAGTTTCTTACAAAGGTGGTTAGGGGAGTGGATAAGTTTTAGAAGTGTATTCAGGATCTTGCGGATCTTAAATGTGAATTTCCTGGCAAGCCCTTTCGTATACAGCACTAACTTTTGAAGAATGTTATGTTTGTTTTGGGTTGTGTTTTTTTTTAGGGAAAACGAAGTCTTCTGAACATTCAGTTCAAAGCATTGCAAAGAAAAGCAAAACCAATAAGAAACTACAAAAGAAACGGATGCGTAACCAACCAACAGTAAAAAATAAAAGTGTAAAATCTGCCATCGGTAAGTTTGCATTATATTGTCATGACAATCACGTTTCCTGTAAATGGGGATTGCAAAAGTTGTGATAGGATTGCAAATGTGGAATATAATCTGTGGGTTTCTATACATCAGTAGCAATATTACACTTGGAACAATATGGCAATTGACAGCCTAGATTTGAAGTTTTCGTGACCGCAAGGATTCATACTCTTTGGTTTTGTCGGTACCGTCACAGCAAAATTACTTTAATTTTTTACCTACGTGACTTTACCGAAAAAAACAAAGTATAATTGACTCCGCTCGCTATTGTCACGTGCCCATAATCCGATGGTGTAGAGGTGTCGTCGGTATAATGTGCTGGATGTTTGGATGTGCGATTTTCTACTGCATGAAACGTACATAACTTTGCAAACGTTAATGTGATACTTTGTTTTTTTTGTAGAGGAATATAAACGCAAACAAAATGCCAATCCCTATAAAACGAATTTGCAGTACCTGCTGAAGAACCAGTCATCTTCTACAAAAAAAATTACACAAAAGGTACTCGCCAGGGCTCTAGAATGTTCACATTGTGAGCAAGTGACCGACACATTTAATGAATGCATTTTAAGGAGTTATCAATAACAACGGAGGTTGTGTTATTTAAATAACGCATTTATTTTACGTGGCTTTAGTTTTATTTCTCAGTGAAGCCAATTGAAAATTAGCCTCTTAAGATACTGTTGTTGGTTTAAAACCTGGCTTGCAAATGTGACGGAATAAGGTGGGAGAAATGCCTCATGTAAAAATTAGATTATCTTTAATAAAAAAAAAATATTTAGAACTCAATTGGCGTATCCAATGCTATCACGGTTGCTCACTATATCTGATTCATTTCGTTATTAAAGGTAAAGGATATGCTTAAGCCCAGCCACACGTCGGTCACTGCATGTTAATGATGGACACAATGTTCTATTTGTTCTTCTTGGACCACCTAAACACATGAATAAAGAATACAATTTTAAATACTGTATACTGAACCTGAACAGCACGCAAGTTAAATCATCCATGAAATATTCAGCTGCTGTCAGTAATTTGTGGTGAATGTTTGATTAGTAATCCTACCGTTATTTTTTCCCAGATTTTACAATTCAAATAACCCAAAATAAGCTGAAGTTAATGTGCCTCATATGCAGACTGAGATGGTTATGCATTGTTACGATTGTCACTGGTTTTATGTATTTGAATTGATTGTGTTCTTACAGAATACATTTTGTTAATTCAAAGAAATCGCTTCACCGCTATGCAAACAAGATTATACATTTTTGTATTTTATAGATCCTGGCGCAAAACCGAGGAAGAAAAGCCAAAGACAAACCTGTAGATGGGAAGAAGCCTAAAATTAAGAAGAGTCTCTTTTCTGATGCATTATTCAGGATGTTTCAAAAGGAATATTTTGGCAAATAAATGTGTTTTTGTAAGATTTGTTTTCTCCCTCTCTTGGTATTGGACATTCAGTACCCGAGTTATTGTTTCATGCATTCCCAATAATAAATAAAGGACAAAGCAATCTAGAATGTTCCACTTGTTTGAGTATACTCAAAATAGATGAAAGCAGCAACACCATTCCCTGGTATATCCAACAATATATGGCCTAGAAGTTTGAACCCCCCTCTTATAATGAAAACCACTCGATGGATCATATGTAATAACACTATGGGGACCTCATTTGCCAGTAAAAATATGATAATTGGTTCTTTACCCTTCTATCTGGCAACAAAACTGACACCTTTTTGCAAGGAGTCATGTTTGCATAGACCGCAATACCTGCAGTCATAACACAAACAAAAGAACATAACTCTGATAATGTGCACTGTCCTTGAAGTTGATTGGTCCACACCCGAGACAGCTTTCCTTCGAGCCTAGTCTCATATGGGTTGGACCAGATGACGCCAAAAGGCGCAGTTTTTATTAAAATGATTAAATGTTTTTGAAATGTCGAATACATGTTTTAATAAATTGTAAATATCGATGTTTTTTTGTTTCCAGCAAATTCTTCGGTGATTCTCTGTCCTGCGGTTCCTCCTACCGAGTTCAAAAGCTATTCCCCCCCCCCCCTCATGCCAACGGAGCATGCCTCTGAAGAGTAGGTCACCAAATCAATGGTAGAGGTTAATTTAAAATGTGAAGTGAAAACCTAGCTAAATTCCATAATTTGTCTCGTCCATATTGTATGATGAATAGTCGAGCAGTGTACAGTATTTAAAATGTAAACAATTATAACTTGGGGATTGTAAAGTTACTCGTGGAATTGTGAACGATTTTTTATTGCACGACTTGAGTCCATATTCTGGAACATTTACAAATGACAACCACTTTAAGACCACTCTTAAAATGCGTAAGCAAAACCAGGGACGGTGTACATGGTGCCAATGTTTTGCACCCTGGTCTATTGCTTTTATTGAGATATTGGAAGCAATTTATTCTTTAACAAATTCCATAGCGGACTTTTTTTATAGTGCGAGTGACATCGGGCTATATATTTTTTTCATTTTCCTTCAGCGCTGTATAGTACTTTAGCTTTTAAAAAAAAATTGGTGACCCCGAGATCACTCCTGCAAATGGCGATGAGATGTTAACTACCTCGCCTGGTATGCAGGAGGTCGTGGGTTCGATGTCGACCCTGACGCCTGCTGCTGTATATTTGCAGTTTGCGTGTCTCTCCCTGTGGTCGCGTGGATTTTTTTCCTCCGGGTCGTCTGGGTGTTCCCTCCACATTTAGAATAAGCCACATGAGTTTAAATAGTTTTTTGGCTGCTATACTTTATACACGATAAGCCCAGTTCGTTTAGCAATCATTTGTGGCCAGGTCGCTTCTGAAATAAAGAGTTAATATAGCTCGGTGAGCCTTACCTTGGTAAAGTAAAACGTGCTGTATTTGGCTGCTGCTATACATGTCCACACGATAAGCCACTTAGGGGCCGTCCATAAATGACGTCACGCGATTTTGGACGATTTTTGACCTCCCCTCGTCACGGCGTCACAAAAAATCAGACCCCCCCCCTCAAATATGACGTCACAAAGCTCTGCCCCCCCCCCAAACCATATTTCAATTTTGAAAATAAAACATGCTTCAAATCGCTTTAAACTATTGTCATTGGAGTGCGTATTTAATGTGTTGCTGCACTCTGATGTAGAAAACATTAATAAGTATATTTAGGTAAGTATAACGTTTATATTTATTTAAAGTTGCGCATTTTGACGTGACGTCACATTTCTCACCCCCTCGTCACAAATGCCTGACCCCACCCCCCCATAGGTGCGTGACGTCATTTATGGACGGCCCCTGAGTTATAATTTGTGACAGGTCGCTTCTGAAAAAAAATAAAAAAACACGTTTATTTAGTTTCTCGTGAGATTCATACTCGCCTCTCTCTCTCTCGAGTTCTTCTCCCCTGCTGAAAAAAAATTACTTTTCAACTTCTGTTTCGCCTGCGGCCCGCAATACAACAATCCCATTCACCCATTGCACACACCGCGATTCGATTCGCGCGGACTAAACGCTGAATCGATGCAGTCCCAGCCGCGCCGCGCGAGGTTCCACAACTGGTCGTCGATTCCAATCCGATTCTTTTCGGGGGCGAAATTAGTTTGGAATCGCACGGACACGGCGGATGGCGTTCGTGAATAGTGAACGCCGCCGCGACTGCGCCCATCATCCCATACGGCCGCCCGGCCTTTTTCTTTGGGGGGGGGGGGGGGGGGGGAGCGCGTCATTTCTGCTGCGTTTACAACGCAATCAAGACACGTTGAGGAATCGATTCGTGCGGTGACAGTATCGCTCTCTCGATTCTGGATCGCCCGTGGAGGCTGCACTGTCATGGCTTCGTCCGCGCTCTTCGTCTGCCTCGGTGAGGAAGGAGGAGGAGAGGGTTGAGGAGGAGGAACAACGCGGGGAGGGGAGGTCTCGCGTACACGGCGCTCGCCTTTACACATGCGCGGTGCCCCAGCTGTAGTCGAAGGCGAGGTGGGTGGCGAGGGGAGCCCCCGGTGGCAGCTCTCCCTACGTTAATGGTGCGCCGGGCGGGTTGCCCCTCCCGGTTGGCTTCGTGTTGCTGCTCCCCGAGCCCCCGGGGTGACGCAGGAGTGTGACGATGGTGGAGTGAGGGAGGAGTGTGGCGATGGTGGAGTGAGGGAGGAGTGTGAGAGAGGAGTGTGACGATGGTGGAGTGAGGGAGGAGTGTGAGGGAGGAGTGTGACGATGGTGGAGTGAGGGAGGTGTGAGGTAGTGATGAAGGCGTGTGAGGGAGTTGTCTGAGGTGGTTGATGTGGAGGAGAGTGAATGGTGGAGTGAGGGAGGAGTGTGACGATGGTGGAGTGAGGGAGGGGGTGAGGGAGGAGTGTGACGATGGTGGAGTGAGGGAGGAGTGTGAGAGAGGAGTGTGACGATGGTGGAGTGAGGGAGGAGTGTGACGATGGTGGAGTGAGGGAGGGGTGAGGTAGTGATGGAGGCGTGTGAGGGAGTTGTCTGAGGTGGTTGATGTGGAGGAGAGTGAATGGTGGAGTGAGGGAGGAGTGTGACGATGGTGGAGTGAGGGAGGAGTGTGAGAGAGGAGTGTGACGATGGTGGAGTGAGGGAGGAGTGTGACGATGGTGGAGTGAGGGAAGGGTGAGGTAGTGATGGAGGAGTGTGATGGGAGTTGTCTGAGGTGGTTGATGTGGAGGAGAGTGAATGGTGGAGTGAGGGAGGAGTGTGACGATGGTGGAGTGAGGGAGGAGTGTGAAAGAGGAGTGTGACGATGGTGGAGTGAGGGAGGAGTGTGAGAGAGGAGTGTGACGATGGTGGAGTGAGGGAGGGGTGAGGTAGTGATGGAGGAGTGTGAGGGAGTTGTCTGAGGTGGTTGATGTGGAGGAGAGTGAATGGTGGAGTGGAGCACGAGGCCCTGGGGATGGGCTTCTGTTGCTCGCGAGCTGGGAGAGCTCAGTGCCAAGTGGTCGTGGCACCCGCACCTCCGTACGGCGCGAAAGAAGTTCACACCGTACATGCACCACCAGTCAACGTCGCCTACACAAGCCAAATGTCAGGATGTGTGAGTGCCTGCGGTGTCATGGTGTGGGGAGCGGTGGTGTAGTGGTTAGCGCTACGAACCTGGCGGGTTCGATTCCCGCTGATGGCCAACACCAGTGACGATTATCTAAACCGGTCCTGGGCATCCCCTAGGTCGACTCAGCCTCAAATGAGTACCTGGTTGCGGAGTGTAAACTTTGCCACTGGGGAGACAAAGGCGGCCGGGCGTGGTTGCTGGCCCACCCACCCCCTCGTGTGCCGTGCCGGCCTTCATAGGCGTTCGCGAACAGCGCTTGGCCCAACACTCTGTTAAGGCTACACGGGGGATCTTTGTCTTTGGTGTCATCAGTGGCCAGCTGTGTGCATGGCTGCCTGCCGCTAGTGGTGAGTGAGCCACGTTCGTGCTGCACGTAGACAGGCTCTTGACGGGCGTGGGTTCTTACTTTTCGTCACGACCTTTACAATCGCCAAACCGGTTTAGGGACAACATAACAGCCTATAGATTTGTTTAACTTAAAATAATGTAACCTAGACGAGTACTGCATCATCATTTTGAGAAACAAAAAAAACCAAGTATTTTAAAACATTGCTTTTACCACTTCTGAATTATAACTCGTGTCGCACAGTTATTGAAGTCGACTAGATTTGTGTGATTTGATACCGGGTTATCGTCACCAAGCTCCCTGGTCATTTACAGCTGTCTTAATACAGTGAGCGATGCACATTGCCTGCAACTTGAGCCCTGCAGCCTCTGCCGCATCAGGCACGCCAAACTTGGGCACACCCTTGCAGCCTATCTCCCTTCCAGGGCCGTATAAACATTCATGGACCTGTATCGCACTGAATCTTGACTTAAAGCTTTCGTGACTGCAGGAATTCATATTCAAAGTCACGTAGATAATCTAGATAATCTACGTGACTTTACCGAAAGACCCAAAGAATATGTATCGCACTGCTTTGTGGTTTTGAATAGAGCATAATAACACTGCTAAATTGCTCACGTGCATCCCAATGTTAATGGCAACCGTTGTGCTTTCACTGCAGGTAACATCTGTCGCTCGCCTATTGCGGAAGCCGTGTTCCGCAAGATGGTAACAGAACAAGGGGTTGCCGACCAGGTATGTTTCCGTAATATGTCATTACCTATCGTAGGTGCCTCCTGATGAGAGTAATTGTGAAATAAATAGGTGGACGGCAACAGGATGGAGAGCTTTTTTGGGATACCAAACTGAATATGAAGCAACATGCCACAATATTTCTAAAATTGTTTAGAATCTGTGTATATTATCTGCTATGACATGGATCGTATACATAGGAATATTGAACAAAAGTCGAATACCGTGCCAGAAAAAGCATGCAGATATGCGTGCTTAGAATTAAAATTAAAGAAAGGAGCATGTGCAAGTTAAGAGCCATCATTGACTGTTAACAAAATCAAAGCAAGTGAGTGGGCTTGAGCAGGACATGTTGCGAATTTGATCTCTTCTACTGGAGCCCTCCAATTGCTGACTCACGGCACTGCTGGTGGAAGAGCCTACATTAGAGGAAGCTCGAGGGGATATTCTATCCACTCCGTGCTTCTGACCACACTTGGAGTAGGTGGGCATACCCACACTTTACCCCATAGAGTGCGATCTGCCAATTAACTATGGTGTACCTCCATAATAGAGGTTTTTGGGTTAGATCGGTTAAATATATAAATGTGTTTTATTCTTTGGGTCTTTCAGTAAAGCCACGTAGAAAAAAAAATGTCACGACGTTTCGATCCCAACACAAGCAATCGTCATAATTTTTCACCTGATGACCTGATGACGATTGCTTGTGTTGCGATGAAAACGTCGTGATATTTTTATTATTTTTTCTACCTACGTGGCTTTACCGAAAGACCCAAAGAATATGAATTCCTGCAGTCATGAAAGCTTTAAGTCAAGATATAAATGTGTCGTTGAAACCCGCCACCACCCGACGCAGCCAACTAGTAAAGGTTGTCACTAGTACAGCACACCGGTGTGTTGGAGAGCCAAGAGCCACAGCATTTCCAATCTGAGTACGACGTTTCGCCAGTAATTACAACTAGCTTCATCTGGCGAAACGTCGTACTCAGATTGTAAATGCTGTGACTTGGCTCTCCAACACACCGGTGTGCTGTACTAGTGACGAATTGGCATGTTCTGTTTACGTGACAACTCTTATTAGTTGGCTGTGTCGGGTGTTGGCGGGTTTTAACAACACATTTATATATTTACGCGATCTAACCCCAAAAAACGCTATTATGGATGATATTGGTCGCGAAAGCCTATGTGTTAAACTATGGTGTAATTATTTTGCTTCGGGGGGGGACAGGCATGGCGGAATTTATTAAACATGCCACGTCGTTTTAACTGCCGTTGCCGGGAGATGGAGGAGAACCAGCGAGCGTGAGCACGCTTGGGTCCAGTGTGCTGACCATTAACACTGCGGCAATTTTATTCTATTCTCAATTAAAAAACCTGAACATGTGTTTGTTGCTCTGGATATTTCTATAGTGCATTAACCTGTTTTTCTACCTTTTTTATATTTCAGTTACCAGTAATGCAAAAATATGAATTTAACTACCCGATTTGAAGCGGATGACAGTGGCAGCCAAAGCATTCTTAGGGTTTCAAGAGACAAACTTAAAGAAACATGAGTTAAGAGGTGTATTGTTAGTGTCAGCACTTTTGCCTTATCCCCTATCCACCACAAACACTTGTTTTGGTTTCCCATCCCCAGATTTATTTAAGGTAATCCAAGCAAATTAATTGATATCAAAAAGCAGAACGGAGTCGTTTTTAGGTAAAAATCAGTGTTAGCCTTTTCAACTTCTTGTATTGTCCTACACTGTCATCTGCATTCAAGATGAATATTCCATTCATAACACCTTAAGTGAGAAGTGCAATGTTTAAAATAAAAATTATGCCAGTTTATGCGGTGGTTGTAAAAGGAAGGCTTGTATATTTGTGGCTTTACAAATTTTTCTGTAATTTCCTTTTCACTTTATTTCCACCTCACGTGGTACTCATTATGCAGTGGCATATTGACAGTGCTGGAACCTACGGGCATGAAGCAGGGAGCCCAGCAGACTATCGCTCACAAGCCTGCCTAAGAAAGCACAAGCTATCCACAAACCACATTGCTCGAGAGGTATAGTCTCCCATCTCCCATCAACTCACTGTGAACTGTCTGTGTGTGGTTCGCTCTATCTCTCTCCACCCACTCTCCCCACCCACTCTCTCCCCTCTAACGACCGTCATGCAGTGGAGGATAGACAGTGCCGCAACAAGTGACTGGAACATTGGAAGCTCCCCTGACTCACGAGCCCTTGCCTGCTTGAGTAAGCACGATGTAAATGTCAACCACCACGCCCGGCAGGTGCGAAATAAGGGGCTTGGTGCCACGATGTCCTTGAATTAAGTCTGTCATCTCTATCGTCTATTAACTATATCAAACACTCTAAGGAAAATGTTGCATGTGAAATGGCACTAAAGGCAAAAGTAACTTTTCCGTAACGATTGTGTAACATGAAACGTATGCAAATTTAAAGCATGCTTTGAATAAATGTTCGTGTCGAGTCTCAATAATATGGGGGTTTAAAAGGCCAAAATGGTAAACTAGAACATAGTTTGAGAAAATCAGTTAATTAAATTATTTTATAGAATCTACTGAGGCGAACCTTGCTTCCAACGCTTGGAGAATGTTTGAATGATAAGATACAAATTCAGGGTTCCAAGCATGCAAAAACATGTGTAGACAAAAACAAAGTCATTTAAATCCAAACTTTTAAGTCAGGAGCTTGGAAAAATACCTGAATATTTAACATTAACTTAAGTAATTAAAAATGATATATAAGTAACTATAAGCATAATCATATTCATGACTAAAATATATTGCAAAACATTCAAACTGTAATCATTAGGTCACATGATTGTGGAGAACATGATACTTTTTGCCATGACATTGAGGCATCTTGAAAGATTTACATCCAAAATATGTATTTCTCAGTTTTCGAATTACAGTACTTGATTTACATCTCATAATAAGTTGGGAAATGTTATTGCATGGGTTTTGTTCCTTGTTTGGTTTGTACTTTTATTCATAGCATCTGAAACTGTGTTACACCTTAGATATTACATTTAAATTGGCAGGTGTGCCATTTTATAACAAGATGTGATGTCTGAAGCACTCCCCCCTCTTGCTATTACTCCCACTCATGCCACTTCATACGCAATTATTTCTTCCCTTCTCTTTTCTCACCCTTCACAGTTTAAATATCACACAGTGATCTCCATTTTTTGAGACAGATGGTCACACCTTCAGATTTATAGGCGGTGATGGAAACGACAAAACATATTTTCTCTTCTGTTCTGTGATTTCATCATTTGCTAGACTTTCTCCGCAGGTACCTTGTTTGTAAATAAAGTGAATTGGGAGTACATTACTGACAGTGAACTAACTGTTTTTTTAAGTTGTTTGATGATGAACTAATGCATCTTTTTGTGTGTCTGTTTTAGATTACAAAGGATGACTTCAAAACATTTGATTACATATTTTGTATGGACGAAAGCAATCTCAGGTTCGTTTAAACAAGTCTGGGCTCCAAGATGTTGTGCTTCTCCCTGCCCCCCCTATGTCGACTCGGCCTCAAATGAGTACCTGATGCGATGTGTAAAACAACTCCACTGGGGAGACAAATGCAGGCCGGCCGTAGTGCTGGGCGCCCACCTCCTCGTGTGCCGTGCCTGCCTTCATAGGTGCTCGCTAAGAGCACTTGCCCCAACATTCCGTTGAAAGTTATACAGGGGATCTTTGTCTTTGTGCGAGCCTATGAAATATTGATTTCGCACATGTGCACTCAATGTTTTGTTTATATCCAAAGGCATTTTAACTTTTACTCTCTTCTCATGAGAGTCGATCCCCTTCCCTGCCACTTGGTCACCTACAGTTGTCTTAGCCTCTTGAGGTAGCTCACTGTTGCTGGAGTCACTGGCATTAACAGCATTCGTACATATTGCAAAATAGCACTCGAATGTCTTGTTCATAGATGCTTGGTGGCTCAGACTTCCCGGGAAAAATATTTTGAGTATACAGCCATAGCCAGAGGTTGTCTTGACATGTTCACAAACAACTGTACAAAACTGCTAAACATTTTAGGGATTTAAATTTCGCCTCTCCTCGGGCTGAAGAATTATTAATCACGTGTGTGCAGAACAAATAGCTCATGGACACAACTCAAGTCCACAACTCAGTTATTGTGATATGGCCCTTTGTATGCTCTCAGATGATAGCCTATTATGATATTACTTGTGTATTATTGCTCAGTTTTGAAAGTGCTTTACGGTAATTCACTCAGTATAAATTAAAATCGAGGTTTGAAAAAGATGCATTGTTTTAACTTTTCAGCATTATTTGTTTCGTGTCTGAAGTTGTTGAATGGGATGTAATCTTGAAGATATATAATCTTATACATTTAAAATGTACATTTATACTCTTGCTTGTTGACTCGCGTGTTTGATAACGACAACCATACATTGTGTAAATGTTTGGCATTTGGATAACAGTGTATCGGTAATATTTAAGGGTGGGAAGAAGTACACTTCAAATTGATGACGGTATGTGTGTGTTTTTTTTAACAGAGATCTGCAGCGATCTGCTAAGAACGTGAGCAACTGCAAGGCCAAAATAGATTTGTTGGGGAAGTTTGATCCTCAGAAGCAACTCATCATCAAGGACCCCTACTATGTAAGCTGTGAGTGTGTGGTGCCAACGAGTGATGTGTTGTTGTTAGGCAGCACGCGGTGCCACAAAATCTCCATAAGATAAGAAACGTAAACGAAATGCATCGTGCTGTATCACTGGTTTCTCAAAGCATCATGTTCCGTGAACAAAAGATGCATAAAATGTCCTGTTTGTGTATATATTGCGGTAAAAAAATCGGAATGTTGACTGGTTTCATTGACTCCATGCTACGCGTAGACGCGACTATCCGTGCTTTCGGTGACCACACACGGGAGCAAGTGCGCATGCACAGCACGTTTATTTTTAACTGTGGGTGAGAGTGAGATTCGCTTTTGTGTGCTCCCGTCCTCGCCTAATCCTTCACTCTTCCCGTGATGGTTCTCCCACCCTCCCTCGTCTCTCTCAGCGCATCGCCCCATCTCCTTTCCTCCATTCTCATTGGGTGGTCTTATTTGCTTTAAATACATTCCAAGCATCACTTGTGTGATTCACTGAGAATATATACTGTTTGTTGTAACTTTTTGCCGCGTAAAAGTGTTAAGAGATGATACCGAGGCCCATGTTTACCTAACTTTTAATGATTCTGTCTATTGCAGTGTTTTATGGCTAATTATGTGAAATGATTTTTTTTATGTGTTACTTATGTTTGTGCGACTCATTGATCACGATAAATGCATAGTAATGGATTCTTGCAACAGTTTTAATGGTAAACTTAACCATATGATATTTACCAAAAATGAAATGTAAGAAGATGTGGCTATCATTTTGCAAATAAATAATGCAAAGTGTCAGCGTTGTTGTGAACTATAAAGGCTGATCATTCTTTGTCTTTCTCTCAGGGTGGCGATGAAGGGTTTGAGGAAGTGTACCAGCAATGTTTACGCTGCTGCAAGGCCTTTCTCAGCTCCGTGGCTTAGGAGTTGCACCAGCAGCAACACCACACGCACACACACATTTCCTTGCTCTACGTAATTTTACGGAAACAACAAATATGTAAATCTGTGCTTTCAAACGATTTGATTTTCATATTTAATTATGTTGCAAGGTGTTACCGAGTCCATGGATATGCATTGTTTTCTGGTGAAACTTTTTTGGTTAAATTGGTTAAACTGTGTCCATAATAGAAAATTAAGAGAGCTTGGGCAGTCCACATCACGAAAAGGAACGATGGCCAAACCTCCAGAACAATGGAAGCCATTGTCAGGGAACACACCCGATTTTATTACATGCAACATTTGCATTTAAAACAATCCATAACTACATGTGCAAGCTTCTCAGTGTGGGGCAGAATAGGGATACTATTTGAGTTTTTTTTTAACACCGCATCTTCCTTGCGGACAACCCAATGTAAACACCTTCATATGCCCCCCCTGCAATTTTGTCCACTTTAAACACATTTGGTTTGCAGCAGCTCCCTTAAGTTGTCCACGGTTTCCAGTGCAAAAATCTCTTCCTCCACTGGGAATCCTATCTTTATTGCTTAAAACTAAACAACACTTGGTACATTCATATATGAACAAACTGTCATAACATTTGCTTATAATAAGCTTAAATCAAAATGCATATTTTACTACAATATGCTGAATAAAAGTATTTCAACTGAAAACGTGCAAAGCAGTCTGGGTATTTCCAAGATGGCGGCTCAACATTGTCCCTTGTGCTGCAATAAAATGGCGTGGTGCGGTTACTGGGGAACTTTGAAAGATTAAGTTGGCTTCGGCAGGAAACATCGCTAAGAAGAGGAATAACTCCTGGCTAAAAGTAAATACGGTAACAGAGGAAGCCAAATATAGGGTAGTCTATTAAAATGTTGTCTTGATACTGGTAAAAAGGTCTCGTATAGCATGCCTCACTTCACACAATCACCACACAGACGCATTGTTGATTGGAGCGTGAACATGTTTATGAGTAAAGATATATAACCGCACACACTAACGTGGCAATACTGAAATAACAGCAGTCTATTACAAAATACTGTACTGTGGCATTTATACAGTGGAATCATAAGTTTACACGCACACATGTTTTACTTGTGCGACAATTCACAAAGCAATTACCTCTGAGCCCATTTATTTTGTTGCACAGGTGACCGCGCGAAGTCTTAAAAGATGGCTCTGCTGTTGTGATCTTAATTTTGAGATGTTTTCTGATATAAGGGAAAGCATTGGATTATAGAGATCTCGGTAGACCTGCCAAAAGTGAGAGGAGCAGCAAGCAGGCTGTTGACAGAGGGAATTCCTCGATGCTGCCAAAGAGAATCCCACCGGCACAGCTTACAATTACTCCGACGTTTACAGTTGTGGTGGTTGTGATTGATGTGTAACAAAAATAAAATTGGGCCCGAGAAATTCAAAACATAGTTGCCATTGAAATATATTTTATGCATTTTTCCGAAAATCTAAGTTATGCGTTTGGTTAAGTGAAATGAAAGCATACGCAATATTGGGGTAGCGGTATGGGCCTCGGATGCATGCATGCAGCAGCAACAACCGTATGACAATTTTTGTTGCTATGATCTTTAATGTTTGTTTAATGTTCACCAATATATTAAAGCACATTAAGGATCAAACATCGCAACAAATGTCATGTCACGGCATCACACGTGGGCAGTGTTGTGAGTGTGTGACGGTCCGAGCGGTCAGCGCGCCAGGCAGTGTGGACTCATCGCAAGTCGCGTGAGAAGTCTCGCACAACGCTTGTAATCTGAAATCAGGGTCGTGCAGAAAACACAAATCGCAGTCATTTAAAAGTTATCTTGAGCAACAAGCGGAGACACGGAAATAACGTGTGTGCATTTATGGCATATTTTGGTGATGGATAGGAGGTTTCTAAATACTGCATATTACAATTGTTCATGAAACGTTATTATTTAATCCAAATCTGCCACCAATTACACCCCACCTCCACTATTGGAGGCTTGGTCCTAGAGCCCAATCATGGCTTATTCGGAACCATCCAGTGTGGCAGAGAGACTCTCTCCGTGGGATGACCACTTGACTTATAACAAATTTGTACTCGCTGCGTTGAACCCAAATGGATTTCAGACGAATGGAAACCTCCACTGGGATTTGAACTCGGAGCCTTCCAGCTATGAGTCGAGTGTTGTGACCAATGCCATTCAGCCAGAGAATCGTTTATATGAAAAGTCAAAGTGGGTTTGTGTTTAAATCGCCACGGGGTGGTTCTGAGTCAATCCATCGGAATACCACGAAAGTAATATATTAAATGTTTTGATTTAAAGCTTTTGTGACTGCAGGGATTCATATTCTTGGTTCTTTCGGTAAAGTAAAGTAAAAGGGAAATAAAAAAATATATTAAACAAAAAAATTCTCATGACGTTTCGACTGCAACACAAGCAATCATCAGGTGTGAAATCTACAGCAAGAAAATGTCGTGATAATTGTATTTCATATTTTTATTATTTTATTATTTCTCTTCTATTTCTCTTCTTCTACGTGACTTTACCGAAAGAACCAAGAATATAATATATTACATTTTTTCATTTTAAAAAATGAAATCCGTTCCAAACCATACCAACGTATTTCAAACGTTCTAATGCACGTTTACTCGTTTTTTTTGTTCACAATTGTACAAACGAGGCTGGGTGCAGACTTCCTTACTTACACGCTGGTGTCATACAGTCCCTGGTGTTGTAATACAGCCGGCGAAAGTGCTTGCTGCATTCAGCGGGAAGTGATGCGCCTGCAAACAAACGATCTGACATGATTCTCGAAAACACTCAACACGTCAATGTAGCTCGCAGCCGTCTTCATTCTCAACAATTACGTTTCGCAACACGTGGGCGCCTCTTCCCACAATGCAACGACTTTATTCTTGACCGTGTAATTGTTTGCACCAAACCAAACTTAAAACCCCAACGCGTAATGCTGTTGGCGAATACTGCAGCGCCTCTTGATGCCAGATGCTCGCATGCCATTCGCACTTGGCCGGTGTCCAAAGAATAACGTGAGCCAACTGTGTCAATTGCACACGAGGTGCAGTCAAGCTGTAGCCACGATGCACCCTGGCTGGCTACGATTCCAGACCCACGGCGCTGTTAAATGTATGGCGGAGCATCTTCTTGGTTCTTTCGGTAAAGTCACGTAGAAGGGAAGTAATAAAATAATAAAAATAAAACATAATAAAATAATTCTCACGACGTTTCGGCCACAACGCAAGCAGCCGTCCTCAGGTGAATAATGAAACACCACCAGAAGTTTGGGGGAGTGAAGCTTGGTGGTGTTTCATTCTTCACCTGATGACGGCTGCTTGCGTTGTGGCCGAAACGTCGTGAGAATTATTTTATTATGTTTTATTTTTATTATTTTATTACTTCCCTTCTACGTGACTTTACCGAAAGAACCAAGAAGATGAATCCCTGCAGTTATTGCGGAGCAATTTACGTGGCCAAACACACCGCGTCTCGGGCTCTATTTTCAGGTAATTGTGCCCGCCGCATAATACTTTGGTGAATGGAGTCAGACCTGCCCGTCAGAAACTCACAGATAAATGTATCACGATGGGAGGAAGGTGGGACCAAAATGGCTTTGTCCTTGCGATACCCAATTCACGTCAAACTAAGTTAAGGCCGGGGATATTTGTGTCACATATGTTTATATTTAAGCATCGCTGATTTAATCCGATAAACGCAGCGATGCGACTCGTGCGTGTTCGCGCTGCACAACTCCGCATCCTTGGAATTCCACAAACTCCGCTGGCCAATCGCTCCCAGCAGGCAATGGGCGGCGTATCGATGGCTCTGGACGCAACGCTGCAGTGTTTAACGACGGCGTTCGCGATGGCTCGCTGTGCAAGGCACGAGAGAAGGCAGAAGAAGAAGATTGGGGGAGTGATGAGAGAGAGAGCGAACATTGGGGGGCAACGAGAGCTGAGAATGGGCAGAGGCGGTGAGAGGGATGGAGAGCCATGAAGGGCATCACTCGTCACATGTGTCGTTAAACCCGCCACCACCCGACACAGACAATTAGTAAGGGTGGTCACGTAAACAAAACATGCCAATTAGTTACTAGTTCAGCACACCGGTGTGTTGGAGAGTAAAACCCACAACATTTACATCAGCGTCACAACGACTGAACACGTTCGTCAACAACACTGCCGCCTTAAAAGGGAAAACCTATCATGCGACGTTTCGGGCAATGGCCCCTTTTTCATGGCACATGAATAGGCCCTAGTAGGACAGTGGAGGTGACGCAAGGGCTGATGCGCAGGTAACATGTAAACTGGTACCATAGTCTTTCTAGATTTGAAGTTTTCGTGACTGCAAGGATCCATACTTTTTTTAAGTATACTTAAGCGGTTGTTCTTTCGCTGTGTTTGTCCCCACCTGAAGACGGACGCTTGTGTTGCGCCCGAAACGTTGTGAGTTAATTTAGTTTTCATTTTAATTAATTGTATTTTTTACCTACTTGACTTTACTGAAAAAAAAAAAGTATGGTATCATATGCAATAAGGGATTCCTCTACTCCCGAACATTCGACTTACGAACTTTCAGAGATACGAATAAACCTGTCTGTATGTCCAGTTGCCTGTTCGGACCGAGAGTCGTGAGTTCAACCACTGCACAATAGATGGCGGTGGTGGAATCTACATCTGCAGAACGTGAAGAACCAGTGGCATCTACATCTACAGGAGATTATGCAACGTTTTAAGCAATTCCCCGTGTTTAGTGTACATGCCGTACAACATGTTTGGAATGGACAGGAGTAAAGTTGGACTTACGAACAAATCGACTTACGAACAGACTTATGGAACCTAACTCGTTGGTAAGTAGAGAAGCCCCTGTATATGCTTTGTCTACACCAGAGACAGCCTTAAAGAAGGCATATATTATCAGAGCATGTTTTATTTGCATGTTCACCACAAGTACGCGTGGTTAATGTAGACTTGATTCCTTGCAAAATTGTATATATTTTGTGTTTAAGCATCTTATAACCTCCTGTTTTATTGCCAGAAAGAGTTAAACCTATTCTTAATTTTCCTACTTTGACACTGCCAAAAAGGTCCCATGATGGTGCCGTATTGACGGACAATGAACGCATATCCTCGTCGTCTTCTTGGCCCAGCTGAATGACCTACACGAATTCTCATCAGCCACGTGCAAATATTTACATGCCAGTGCATGTGACTCTTCTTTTAGAATGACAACATATAAATAACCGCGAAAATTGTGCTTGACATATATAATGCTGTTACGCTTGTTTGGAAATGTACCATTTATGTAGTAAATTATCACTCAATATGTGGTTTGTCTTCAGCTGCAAGCTTGCATTTTTTACTTTCTCACTATCGGATCAATATCTACAGTGTTTCCGTGGGCATGCATCACTTGGACACGGCTATAAACCCTGCTGTCCCTCAAGGCTCGGGGTTTGTCTCCAATACTTTTTCTTCTGTCAATCAATAATTTATTATCTCACTCCAGCAGTCTTACCCGCAGTATGCTGCTACATTCATCTCGCACGGGACTTCCACAGCACAGCGTAAATATCATAGATCACACGCTGCTCAGTGTGTTTAGACATCTCCATTGATTATTACCACTGGTTTACAAATAACCCAAGCATACAGCAATGGTAATTTGGTTAC